AAAACTTTTTGCTACGTGAGTTGTGAATGGTTATATAATGCGTTCAAGATTATGGAATAACATAGGTAGGGGGTTAAAGGGTATTAGAAATAGAAATCTGGATCACAGAAATATTATCTGAATGGTATAGAACAGTCTCAAACAAGGCATATTAACCGACACTGAAAACGATAGTAGACAGTATTTAGGAAGAGATACTTCTGAGTATCCCTGGGAACATTCGAGTAACCCAGAGGACATTTAAATGGACAAAGAGCACATTCTATTCAGTTCTTTTATAAATTAAAAAGGTTATACAGAATAATAGCAATCCCTATCTATAGTATCCAATGAGAAAAGTATTTTCTCAAGTCACATGACTTGTTCTAAGCGGCTAGAAAAAGCTTGGGGCTGGCTATTATATCTTCTAATTTCATACTTGACATACTTGAGTAGAGTGATGGTGGCGGTGTGGGGTTGGCACCATCCGTTGCCCACATTCTGAGAGAGGCTGCGGCCGGTGACACACCCGCAATGCGTTACTCTGAGAAAAACTTCCTTCTGTTGTGGCCTTGCAACACTACATAGCTCCTGATGACGCACTGAGAAGTGCGAAAGCACTTGAGCTAAAGATTTTTACCCCCATGGCTTGTCTTGCATATATATATATATATAATATATATATATATATATATATATATATATATATATATATATATATATATATGTCGTGCCGAATATGTAAAACTGGTCAATTAGCAAGAACTCATTTAAAATTAAGTCCTTTCCAAAACTTTCTGTTATACGTTTAAAGATATATTTTTTTTCATTAATGTTAATGTAAAGATTGTTAATTTTGCACCAAAAGAAACTTAGAAAACTTACCTAACCTTGTTATAACAAGAGCAATTTATTTTAGCCTAACCCAACTAAATATATTTTAGATTTGTTTACAATAATTTAGTACTAAACAAACACAATCAAATATATTTTTAGCGTTAGGTTCAGAATGATTTTGGCGAAATTATTGCATACACAAATTTTCGCTTGTCCTATATGGCAAGATGAGCGTTGCTATTTAAGCCACGATAGCAAGTTCTGCCTATTCGGCACGTCATATATATATATATATATATATATATATATATATATATATATATATATATATATATATATATATATATATATATATATATAATATCAGAACATTGAGAAAATAAATTATTTTATCAAAATGTGATAAGTAATATTTACTTCTTATAATGTATATATCCTGAAGATTTTATGCATAGTATCATTTAAGGGAGGAGCCTTGATACCGGTGAAGGTGCCTTGATACCGGTGAAGGTGCCTTGATACCAGTGAAGGTACCTTGATACAGTGAAGGTGCCTTGATACCGGTGAAGGTGCTTTGATACCAGTGAAGGTGCCTTGATACCGGTGAAGGTGCCTTGATATCGGTGAAGGTGCCTTGATACCGGTGGAGGTGCCTTGATACTGGTGAAGGTGCCTTGACACCAGTGAAGGTGCTTTAACACCAGTGAAGGTGCCTTGACACCAGTGAAGGTGCCTTGACACCGGTGAAGGTGTCTTGACACCGGTGAAGGTGCCTTGACACCAGTGAAGGTGCCTTGACACCGGTGAAGGTGCCTTAACACCAGTGAAGGTGCCTTGACACCAGTGAAGGTGCCTTGACACCAGTGAAGGTGCCTTGACACCAGTGAAGGGGATTTCGAGTCAAAGAACTGGAACCACTCTCAGTTTTCGTGAATCGATTCTGGTCGCCTCCCTTTCTCTAAGGCGCTGTTTAACCCCAGTGGATTTAGTGCTTCCCCGTGAAATAAATACATTTAAGCATTTGTACATGTTCACATCTATATACGCCCATATGCACACCAGTATGAGTATAGTTATATTATATATATATATATATATATATATATATATATATATATATATATATATATATATATATATATATATGTCGTGCCGAATATGTAAAACTGGTCAATTAGCAAGAACTCATTTAAAATTAAGTCCTTTCTAAAATTTTATCTTATACGTTTAAAGATATATTTTTTTCATTAATGTTAATGCAAAAAATTTTAATTTTGCATCAAAAGAATCTTAGAAAACTTACCTAACCTTATTATAACAAGAACAATTTATTTTAGCCTAACCCAACAAAATATATTTTAGATTTGTTTACAATAATTTAATACCAAACAAACACAGTGAAATATATTTTTTTCTTTAGGTTCAGAATGATTTTGGCGAAATTACTGCATACACAAATTTTTGCTTGTCCTATATGGCAAGATGAGCGTTGCTATTTAAGCCAAGATCGCAAGTTCTGCCTATTCGGCACGACATATATATATATATATAATATATATATATATATATATATATATATAATGTCGTGCCGAATAGGCAGAACTTGCGATCTTGGCTTAAATAGCAACGCTCATCTTGCCATATAGGACAAGCAAAAATTTGTGTATGCAGTAATTTCGCCAAA